TGTTAAGAAAAATGACATTAATTATTACTTTTTATGTAAAAGCCGGTATAATGACCCAAATGAGATTTAATATATCCTCTTTATATTAAAGGAGATTCATTTTAGGCTACTTTTGCTTATGTGTCAATCCCACAAATTTTTCAATTTTTTTTAATAATTCAATCCTATAATAGTTATCTCCTACTATCCTATTAGTCAAACACTCTTCATAATATAATCTCTATAGCCAAACACAGTAAAATATTAAATATTTATAAACTTACCTAAAACAATTATTTAAATACTGTAATATTAATTCTTACCATTAAAGTTATTAAAAACTATATTATTAATTACTCTTATAATTACCCTAACCTATATGATTCAATTTATATTTGCATTCTTCCATTTTGTATAATTGAATTATAAACCGTATCTTTATGATATTAAAAATATATTTTATTAATAAGTGATATACAATGACTAAGAAATTTAAGATCTATTTTTAAAAATTATATCATGGGTGAAACACATTTCTATACAAAATAATTGCAAAATTTATATATATATATAAAATGAGTTTTAGATTTCTACTAAGATAGCACCTAAAATTTCTACTTGGATAACACCTAAAACGATTTATGACCAATTAACTAAATCCAAATTTGTATTTTAAAAACTCTATTACTACTCTTATAATTACTCTTAACCTATAAGATTCAATTCATATATGAAATCTTTTATTTTGTATATTTGATTCATAAACCGTATTTTTAAAAATTATGATATTAAAGAAATACATTTTATTAATTAATAAGTGATTTATTTACTAAGAAACTAAACATTTGTTATTTTGAATTATTTCACGGGTGAGATATATTTCTATACAAAATAATTGTAAAATTTATAAATATAAATGAGTTTTGGATTTCGTATAATAATTTTTTCAATAACTCTAGATGATTTATTAAATTAAACTATATTAATTTTATTCGCGTATCATATTATCTCGTGTATAATGCGGGAAACTATCTGGTAATTGTTAAACTAACTACAAATGTTGCAAAAAGTAGAAAAAACAGGAGCAAGTAGC